TTTTATTGCCTTCTCGCTTGCATGGTTTCTGCTGAGAAATCAGAGCTTATTCTTATTGGCTGTCCTTTGTACATAACTTTTTGTTTTTCCCGTGTGGCTTTTAGGATTCTGTCTTTGTCTTTGTTGTTGGTGAGTTTGATGATGATGCAAATGGAAATACTCTTGATAAAATGATTGGGTAGAATTATTTTTTCTCTGGCACCTTTGTCATTCCTTTAGTTTCTAAACTACAAAACTGCACTGAAAATGTTAAAGCTTCTTTTATGTGTGTGTGTGTAACAAGGGATACATAGAAATGGAAAACCAGTTAAGGTTAAGTTTTTGTTTCATACTCTAAATGGAATTTGTTCCTGTTGAATAAATCAGCTACTCAGATGTTGTATAGAAATCCAATGTTGTATAGAAATCTAATATTTTTTATCTTTGTTTTACCATATTTGTTATATATTTCATTTTTATACTGTTAAGTTCTAAGTTTCCCTTCCCCCAATTATTAACCATGTTACCCTTGATAAACTAACCCTCCCCCCAAAAAAAAAGTGATCTGGTGGCACAGTGCCTAAGGCATTTGACTAATCATCAGAAAGGTGGTGGTTGGAACTCACCAGCCACTCTGCAGAAGAAAGATGGAACAGTCTACTTCTGTAAAGATTTACTACCTCTACACCCAATGGTGGTGACTAATATTTAAAAAATCCAGCATATAGGCGCACTTATTCATTGTTGTATATTACTCAGAAACATCCTGGTTATCTTATAGCTCAATTATTTAAAAAAAAAAAAAAAAAAAATCAAGGTATATTTACATTCACAATTAAATTAAAACAGGGTCTAAGAGTCCCCAAAACCCATTGCTGTCTAGTTGATTCTGACTCATAGTGATCCTATAGAACAGACTATAATTGCCTCATAGTGTTTCAAGGCTGTAAATCTTTATGAGAGCTGAAACCACATCTTCTGGTGGAGCAGTGGCTGAATTTGAACTGTTATCTTTCAGTTAGCAGTCTGCTGAGTGCTTGACCACTAGATTGCCCATGGGTAGTGTTCAATAAATGTTTATTGAGTAAATGCAGCTTTGAGGTACAAAGTGCTGGTCTTTTATTAGCCCATCTACCAGAAGGAGGAACAATGATTCATTGAACAAAAGTTTGTTTATTTGGTCCATGATTACTATTGATGTATACATTTATTCAAACATTAAACTGAGCTTTGTATGGGACTATTCCAGTCTGCTTTCAAAATGTGGGTGTTGTGTGGGCAAGGACCTTGTGTTACTTATCTTCCTGTTTATGTGACACTGCACTGTCATTCTTAAACACAGTACGTAAAGAACAATTAAGTGACATTTAACCCAAAACCTAAAGTTCACACAGATATTTATTTCACTTAGGAACCATTTCATAATATGTAGTCAATACTTAAAATTTACACATATACTCTGCATTTTGAAAGTTCTTTCTCAATTGCTTAGTTTAGTTGAAAACTAAAAATCTTGGATGTTTCTGGCCCAGAGCAATGTCTTTCGTGCTAGAGTTTTCTTGAAAGCTTTCTTCACATCTTTGTTTCTGAGTGTGTAGATAAGAGGATTTACTAATGGAGTAACCACACAGTAGAATACTGACACCACTTTACCAATGGTAAAGTTATACTTGGCCGGAGGCCGGACATAGGCAAAGATGATTGTGCCGTAATAGATGGTCACCAAAGTTAGGTGGGATGCACAGGTAGAAAATGTTTTCTTTTGAGCCTCCCGGGAAGATAGTCTGATTATTGTGAGCACAATGTGCCCATAAGAGGACATAGTGAGAAGGAAAGAACTTAGAATCACGACTGAGCTACAGGTGTAACCCAAGGCCTCTGCCAAGAATGTATCTGAACAGGAGAGTTTGAAAATGGGATCTGAGTCACAGAAGAAATGGTTAATTTTCTGCGGGCCACAAAATTTGAGATAAGAGATGAGTACAGTAGGTAAGATTGGGGCAATAAAGCCCCCAATCCAAGACCCAGCTGAAAATCGCATGCAAATTTGAAGACTCATGAGGAGAGGGTAGCGGAGAGGGTTGCATATTGCCAGGTAGCGGTCATAGGCCATCACTGCCAGCAGTATGCACTCAGTAGCCCCCATGGAGAAGAAGAAGTAATACTGGGTTATACAACCAGAAACTGAAATGGTCACAAACTGTGACAGGCAGGTAGCTAGAAGTTTAGGCACAGTTGCAGTAGTATACCATATCTCTAGGAAGGATAAGTTTCCTAAGAAAATATACATGGGTGTCTGCAGTGTGGAATCCATCAGAACAATGAAAATGATGAGTGTGTTTCCTGTGAGGGAGAGCAGGTATACAATGAGAAACATCACAAATAAAGTGAGTCGGAGTTGGGGAATACCAGAAAACCCAAGAAAGATGAACTCTGTTACTGTTGTTTGGTTTGTCACATCCATATTTCATCTTCTTTGACCTGGAATCAATCACAAGCCTCTGAGGTTGAAGATGATCAGGAGCAAGATTGTGATCTTATCCTCACTTATCTATCAAAGGTAATTTAAAACACATATAAAAACAAAGAACAACAACAACAAAAAAAAATAGTTACTGTCCATCAATTCCATTTCATGGTAGCCCCACTTATGTCAGAGTAGAATTGTGTTCTATTGTGCTTTTAATGACTGATTTTTCAGAAGTAAATTACCAGACTTTTCTTCATAGCCACCTCTGGGTAGTTTCAACCTACCAATCTTTCAATAGTAGCCAAATTCTTAAACATTTTTCAGATTAGCAAATCCTCAAAATTACAATGAAACCAAATCAACCTATTGCTGTAGAGCTGATTGCAAGTCATGCTAACCCTACTTGTACAGAGTAGAACTGCTCCATAATTTTTTTTTTTTTTTTTTTTTTATGGAAGCAAATGGCCTGACTTTTCTTTCACAGAGCTGTGGGGTAGGTTAGAACCTCCATATGCTTCGTTAGTAGTCAAGTGCAACTATTTGTGTTACTCAGTAACCTCCCCCAATGATAACAAAGTCTTACTAATAACGTAAAGTAAGCTCTGGTGGCATAGTGTCTAAGGCATTTCACTGCTAACCAGAAGGCTGGTGGTTCAAACACACTAGCCACTCCTCAGAAGAAATATTGGGCAATCTACTTCCATAGTGAAACTTCAGAAGCTCAAGGAGAGATCACCATGAGTCAGATTCACCTCGACAGCATTGAGTTTTTAATAGGATAAATAATGACTGTAAAAACAATTGGCACTACTAAATGCTTTACTTGGATTATTTTCTTTTATTTTCAAAATAGGTCTCCCAGGTGCATATATTCAAAGAACACAGAGGAAGAAGTTGAGGGAGTATTCAGTTTTACCCTTGTTAAGTTGGTGGAACTTGTTTTGAACATAACAGATTGATTTAAAAAATCATTCTCCAAACTAGTATACAAAATGTGGTTAAGTTGAAAAACATGGCATTGTCCCATCACTGAGAAATTTTGGTTTGAGATATTAGAAGGTAATGGATAAATCAAAACCACAATGCCTGTTGCAGACTAGTTGACTGAGAGCCTCTTAAACTGGAGCTTTGCAGTCCCATAAGTTGCTATGTTGAAACAAAGGGGACCCAGAATTTTAACTTCATGACCCTTAATTTTTGCCATCAGTTATTTTTAGAAGATTATACACGGATAAATACTATTTCCAGATAACTAAACAGAAAAATTCAAAATCTGCATGAAAGATGTTTTGTTTTGACATATTCTTTTACCTTCCACAATCTTCAGCTCATTTGTTTTTAGAACTAATATTTCCAA